TGAAAATGCTTGAGTTTAGATTGATAGTAGAGGAAATTAAAATACTTGAATAAAATGTTAATATAATGCGATGTAAGTAAATAGATTAGGGCGTCTGGACGCGATTTGAGAAATTGAAGAATCAATTCTCTTGTCAAATCCGCGGATCCCACACGAATACAATTTGCTTGTTCAATGAATTGATACATGCATAAATGACAAATTTGCCCACATGACTCCAAATGTGCCCTGACACCTTTGAAGAATACTTTTGATCGGTAATGAATTTGGGGAATTAATGCATACATGATGGGTCCCATTGAAATGTGAATTTATTTCATCCATCAAATTTTTTTAACATGGAAATTCATTGCACCAAAACCAATTTGGGACGTGCGACATTATTCATGATAACATTTTTTCCGATTTTGTCATGAAACGACGTCCATTTCTCTTGTTGGAAAACATCATGCTTAATCAGTACGTCTAATTTTGACCCCGTCTATAAACGTGTTTATTGTTGTGCCAATTAATCTCTGAACATATCCCACTCATCTCGTCGGGATTCCAGTGCATTCATTTCAGCTGAAGCTTTGTCGTGCGCTCGGTAGCTCCATCTCTACTGCGTTGGGGTCCGTCTCCACTCTCATGAACGCTTCGTCCACCATGCCCACCCGTCGAAGGAAGTTATAAATGTCCATGGTTGTAATTACAATATGTGTTTGCACGTCGAAAGCATAACTTGGCATACGATCGAGTATTTTCCACCGACTTTTACAAACGCCAAATGCATGTTCAATGACGTTCCTCTCGTCCTGAAATTAAATTTTTTGTGAGCATTTCGAAAGTTACGTCTGCAACCGGTGTCTCCATCATAGAATTGCTGAAAATGGTATAATTTATCGGAACCCTTATAGGGCGTCATATACCCAGGTTGATGAGCAAATCCTGAGTTAACCAGGTAATATTTTCTAGGTGCTGATTGTGGAAAGTCAATCTTGGGATTATGTATTGCCCGAGCCAAGATTCGAGCATCGTGAGAGTTCCCCGTTGTACCGGCAAGCACAAATTGAAATCACAAGCTGCTAGCACATTCAAGGTTAGAATTCCTTTTCGTCCAATAAAACTCACGTGCTAGTCTCCTGGAAGGACGACTCTAATGTGGGTTCCGTCAATCGCACCAATGCAATCCCGAAAAATGTGATGCTTGTTCAGATTCGAAACGTGATACTTAGCATAATTATTGTAGTTTGGATCCGATCGAATTACTTGTCGAGAAAACTGGAGGACCGCTTGAAGCACAAGCTTGAAGGAGTGCCTGATGGTTTCCAACGAATGGTTGAAAAGCGTTTGCACTTGTCTGTACCCCTTTCCATGTGCTAATATGCAAAGAAACATACCAATATGTTTATAAATATCTATGTGCTGATGACTGCGATACCTGTACTCATCGCGAGCATATGTGTAAATGTTCGCAGCATCACGAGATACATCCGAAACTCAGCATAGCATTGTTGAGGACTACAATTCATTGCGTTCAGCATGAACATATGATCATTTCGTGCAAACGGATATCGTGAAACACGATTGCTTTGTTTGCAATAGTAGTTTTTGAGGGTGACCTCACTTATTTGACAGTACTGAAATCACTCCATAATGTCCACTTGCAATTCTTCCATGAATTCCTCGTCACCCAGTTCATCCTCCACATCGGAGGTCGGTTGCAACTCACAAATGAAATCCAAATGCGCTATACGACCACAATCACAATATGATATCAAAAACTATGGCTTTTACATGTTGTAAATTTCCACAGAATTGATGTGCCTTTTATAGAACGATGGCACTGATACAAGAAGGCAAGTGAAATGATTTGTATTTGAAGCTATGGCTAGGACAACCAATAATTTATGTGAAGATGGGACTGATGTGAGTTGTCCACCAACTAATAGAGAACTTGTTTGACCGAAATGTGAACATACATCCAAATGTGAGTCTTGTCTGCACACCTGCTTGTAATCTACCAGAATCAAACATTTTGGTACACATATGAAAATAATACATTTCATGAGCAAAAAGTAAACTTAGGCAACTGTCCCCCATACATACTAGACACAAACAAAATGTCTTCACATCAAACATAGTACATGTAAACATAATCAATAGCAAGAAAAATTGAAAACGTCCCATGGATGTGTACACAATCCACACAAACATAGCTATAACCGTGGCTGTGTTTTCCTATATTCTTGATAGCTCCACTCCGCCCAAGGAAACTTATCATTGGCATTGTCTTGCATGTCTAGTACCTCTCTATTAGCCTTCTACGAAAGGAATTTGTCCGTGTAAAAGTACAAATCCGTTTGCTTTTGGAGTCAACCCATTGCCAGTAACTTGCTCATGCATGTCTTCGGTCGGACGCAGCAGCTCCGATGAAGTTGTCAATTTTTGCAGCAATCTTCTCATTGGTTGAGTTAGCAAGATCCACGGAGTAGAAAACGTCCCGAGATGAAAACTTCTTCTTTTCCTTCATTCGCTTCCCGGCAGCCTTGCGTTTGTCCCCGCTTGTGGACTGAATTTAGCCATGGTTACGGAAGGCGGTTTGGCTACACCGCCCTCGTCGCTTGAGCCGCCAATCTTTACATCGACTAGGATCTTGTCATGGTGGTTTTCGTGTCCACTGTCTTTGAGCATCGCGAAGCGAGTGTGACATGCTTGGCTAGGTGTGACTGCGTATTTATCGCAGTCGAAAACATCATTGAATAAAACCTTGTATCGGTACAACTCTCGGCAATCCTTGTCTTTATACTCTTTGTACTCCTTCCTCTCTTGCAGCAATATAAACCAAACGGGGTTCACATCTTTTACAAACGAACTGGGTGTAGCCACGTTGGGAAAGCTTAAACATTAGGAAGCACTTGCAAAAAAAATTTCAAGTTGGAAACTCCAAATCCATTTTCTCATAAACAAACAAACCAACTTCAATGTACATAATGTATTCCAGTACGATGCTGGATATGACACCCGTGACAATAAATTGGAGGTATCTAATCCCTAAAAGATGCAATACTTGCTGCAATTCACGGGCCTGACTGAATCATGAAATACGCAGTGTGAAAGAATCAGTTACAATTTACTGAAAAAAAAGTGCGAATTGTATCTATTTCAAAAAATAACAAAATTATGAACCATTGTTACCCATACGCATAAATATGGAAATGAAACAAGAACACAATTGTAATAACATTTGATGGAAATTCCAAGAAAACATCAAATTCGACCCAAGATAACTTGAAGAAGTTGAAACTATTTTTCTTCACTTCCTACCGACGTGTTTGTCAAGCATATTGGTTTCTTTATAGCTAGTGTGTATTCAACCAAATTTGGACAAAAACATGTTCGTGAAACGATGGTACCTTAATCTTTCAATCCCACCACTCCGCCGAGGCGCTGATCAAGCCAATAGACGTGTTATACGCGACGCCACTATTGTTGATCAATTCTTCAAATCTCTTATGTTTCAGGCGGAGAGCATTCCAACTATTTTTTAGTTGTTGCTTACTTCAATTGTGCTCGGAGTTAGTGTTAAATAAGTGAACTAATGTCTGCCATTTGTATTTGGTGAAGCACTTCCCATTTCAGTGTCCATCAGCGATTACGATCTCACAGGCAGCAACAAAATTGTTCGTCTCATAGTTAGTCCATTGTGCATGCTTACAGGGCCCCAATTGACCGTTAACCTGCTAGGCGTTTGATGTAGAGGAGTGCGGGTGATAATTTGGTTGCTGCAAATTTGACGAAATAAATGTTATTCATTTCAGCAGAAGTAATCTTCTCTCGCAATTTTATGTTCAACGCAACAATGAAGAAGGTGTTGGAAGCACTGTACCGTATCGGAGGAACGAAAGGATTCATGTCGGTGCGATTTCGGTGACCAGATTCTTATCCAAAAAGTTATACAATTATGTGCTGGAGTAAATGGTATCGCCTCTTCAGGTTCAGATTCAAGTGAAAATGTAATACAAGCATGTCAGGTCTGAGTGAATCAAATATTCCAAACAAATGTATAGGGCAGTAACGGATGAGAAATGTGTAAGGGGAACGAGTAGTGATCGACCAAACAGATACTTACCTGTGATATAGCGCGGGAGTTGGGATCTACCGGATGAAATTGTGATAGAGACGTCGCTTGTACCGGTGGCCGAAGAAGGCGAATGTAGTCACGACAGATTGGGCATGGAATATGTGGGCAGGGGCTGTATGAACCCGCGCTATAGTAGTCAAAATAGTGTTGGGACGATTGGGCTCTACCAGAAATTGTGGATGGTTGCTGGGTCAATATTTCCTCACTCTGGACAACTATTGTATGAGAGATCGGTGCTGCCTAAGTCTAAGTAGTGTCAGCAACTTCGTCCAGTGGATGAGTGAAAAACAAGTGTCTTGCTTTTTTCATTTCACACATGGGTGAGGCAATGTGGGTTGGTTTGGCGTGTTAATTTTGGGAGTAGAAAGTGGAAAAATTGGCTAACATGGGTGTCAGTCTATTTGATGGAAATGTCAGTACAATTGGTGGAAATGTGGCCGTTGGACGCATCAACGGTTAGAAAGTCCCTTAATTTTGAAAATTAGGTGCGCCCAGACAAGCCCTAGAACTATAGAGCATGTTTGGTCCTCATTTTTTGCAAAATGCATTTTTCTCTCAGTTATTTTCAATCACATTCTTCAATAAAATAATATTAAATACAATTCAAAAAATTTTCTTATTTTTTAACTGCACATTCTTCATGAAATTTCCATTAGAAAATGATTTTTTGGGGAAAAAATGGGGCTCAAACATACTCGTAATGAGGTGGAAGTGAGTATTTAATAAAAAAGAAAATAAAATATGCTTTTAAAGAAAAAATTGATTGCTGGCCAATCCGGGGTCGGCCCACTGGACTTTTAATGGGTTGGCCCGCTCCAGACCGAGGCGGACTAGCCCAGTTTTACTCATCATTCGTCGTCCAATTTCTCTCATTCCAACGACAATTGCCAGTTATTACCAATCTACCACACCATTATTGACAGTTCCCAAGTTCATAGGCGGAAAATATCCGGTTGCGTTCCAATTTCAAATTCTTCGACCACAAATGGTTTCATTTTCTATGTTTTATAGGTAAAGATATTTTTATTATTATTATTATTCGTCGCTTCTATTTTATTTTCAGGGTTTAGGGTTTTACAAATTTTTCCTACGAAATCAGTACAATGTCCGCGTTGATGAGAGCTAAATTCGGTTATAAGAACACGCTCTATTACATGAATGAATCGCTTTCTTCTTCTTGCCTGTTGCGAAAATTACGCTCATTCTCCGACGGTGGCGATTCAAATTACCCTCCGGAACCCATTCCAAACAGGCCCTTGAGGGACGAGTCGAGAAAAAGGCAATCTTACCCTTCCCCAAACGCTAGATTCCCAAAATTTAATCGTGGTCGGGAAAATGGAAATTCAAGTTCGTCGAGGAGTGAAGGGGATGATTTTCTGGAAAGATTCAAGCTCGGGTTTGACGAGAAGGAGGGAAATACGAAACGCATTTCTGGGGAGGAAAACGTTAGTACCAGTGAGAAAACTGAAAATGTTGAACCAATTCCACCACCGGAGGATGCGGATGAGATATTCAAGAAGATGAAGGAGACTGGGTTGATCCCGAATGCGGTGGCGATGCTTGATGGCTTATGTAAAGATGGGTTGGTGCAAGAGGCAATGAAGCTTTTTGGGTTAATGCGTGAGAAGGGTACTATTCCAGAAGTGGTTGTATACACGGCCGTAGTGGAAGGATTCTGCAAGGCACAGAAATTTGAAGATGCAATGAGAATTTTTAAGAAAATGAAGAGTAATGGGATCGTTCCAAATGCATTTAGTTATGGGGTTTTGATTCAGGGACTATGTAAAGGAATGCGGTTGGAGGATGCCTATGAGCTTTGTATTGAGATGTTGGAAGCCGGGCATTCCCCGAATACAGCAACTTTCATAGGTTTGGTTGATGGATATTGCAGGGAGAAAGGCATGGAAGAAGCTCAGAGTGTGATCAAAGCGATGAGGCAGAAAGGATTTTTCATTGATGAGAAAGCGGTTAGGGAGTATCTGGAGAAGAGAGGGCCTTTCTCGCCTTTGATTTGGGAAGCAATCCTGGGGAAAAAGGCTTCCAAGAAATCTCTGTTTTGAATGTTCTATTTTGTTATTTAACTTTGTGTTGTTTGTAGGATGAATGTTTATGAACAATGCTGATTTTACTCTATGAACATTCTATATTTTGTTTCAATACCATTATGAATGTAATTTTTGCCTTTGAAATTTGAATGTTTCTGATTGTATATTCAATTCTTTACTCCTTGCACCAATTATACAGTTGAATATGCATTTGGCTTGCTTATAATCAATTAAGGCTTGCATTAGTTATTCATGGAAGAATGATTATTTGTAATGTTGTTTTCCTCAATCTTGAATTACGCACACATGGTTGGTTTAGCAATTGATGTGTGTGTAGAAGTTGGATGACAAAACTCTGGTGTGATAGAGGCGTATCTTGTGCTTGTGTGTTATCGTTTTGGTGATGGGGATTAAGTTAACTGTTACTTTCACATCATTTTGTTTGTTTAACCAAAGACTTAAAAGATTGCAGTGTGTATGCAACACTGGTGTGGTAAAGAATTCTGTACAACTAAAATTGGAGCCTGAAGGTTTAGGGAGTATTTCTTTTCATGGAAATGGAACAGTTTATCAATTAGTCTACTCCGAACCTTTTTGATCCAAAATGAAACTTTGTACAAATTTCTGGCATTTGAATTGCTAAAATTGGACTGTGACCAGAGAAGACAGTCTCTTGTTTTAGTTTTGCAGCTCCAGTATGGGTATGTCATTGTCGAGACTAAAAGCTTCTCTTTAGATTCTTAAAAGGTTGAACCTCAACCTTGAAGGCCCCTACCGCCCTATTTCTAGAGTTTTGTGAGGGGGGTAAATCGCAGGATGAGCGTATGTCAATCATAAATCTTTAGTCGGTTCCACCAACTAGGCCCTTCAGAGTGATTCTATATAATGTATATATTTTTCCATTTCTAAATGAAAAGTTGAGAGTTAGTCAAGGAACGTTTGGTTTTCACTATCGAATTTGACATCTTAAGCAGTTGCTCTCACTTCAGTCTCTCATGGAACGCACCTTGACATAACTCCCTATTCGGCTAAGAAAAAGACCTCTCCATGCAATAGATCTGCCTTAACGGGGAATACAGTCTGGATTAAACATTCACCTAGTTGATAATTCCATCCAGCAGTGGTCAGTCTCGCTGCCTTTCTCCAACCAGAATCTCAGTGCGTCAAAATTTTAGTGCAAAAATTGGAGTTCAAAATATAGCAACCTCAAAATAAATAAAATAAGAGCCTGCCTTAACTAATACCAAGTTGTATAATCATCATCAGCAAAATGACATTCCACTCCCCATTGACCCCGTGATCTTCCTCAGCCATGTAATTCTGAAAACCAGTAGCATCCTCCAAACCAATGTCGACTCCATCCTCCCTTTCCTTCTAACTACACTACGTTCTACAATTTGGCAACAACATTACACAATTTTAAGATTGCCCATTTTTCATTGTCACATTCCCAATCTTGTACACCAGTGGCAGAGCAAAATATTCTATCAATATTTGTTATATTCTCGAAAGGAAATGCTCAAACTCCAAAGCCATGGGATTTTTCAAACTGCAAGGATTATCAATCGATCCCACGTAACCTTTTTCTAGAAACTCGCAAGAAAGCTATCTGTATAAACCAGTCTCAATGGTGGCTTGAAATCACAAAACTGCTAATCAGGTTTGGAAATTTGACACCCCATCAGTGCACCAAAGAGCCCAAAAGAGCGTCAAATCTAAAGATCATAAAGGGCATGCAACTGGTGCTGTACTATGGTGGCTTATGAGATGAGGTTGAGAAAGAGTTATTGATACTTGATGATGGTTTGGACGAGGTAGGTTAAATGCAAATACAAGAATATATTCAATATAAATAACAACATGGGGATGCAGCAGCGGGGAGTTCTGCAAGAAAGAGAACGACTTCTAAGCATTTGGAAGAATTGGAACAGTTTTAGTAGGTACTACTGCTTTGAAGGGAATGGCGGAATGAAATATTTCTATTCATTAATATATTATGCCATACTTTGTTTTAATATGTATTTTATGGTCAAAAGAATAAATAGGCTACACGTTTCTCTCGAAAAAATTGAGTTTCTGAAAACAATCGGTAAATGCTAAGTAAATAAAATTCAAATAAATTTATTTAGGAGCTGTATGAATGAGAAAGAAGTTGACACATTCATGCAACCTCAAACAAAAAATATTTCTTATTCGCGAAGTACACTTAGTTGGATCAATTTGCCAGAGTAGCCTTAACTGCATGGAGTGACCAATTTCGGCCATGCTCCCGGTCTTTGAATTCTTGAAGATGTGCTATTATGGTCCAAAGATTTGTCATCATATCAGAAAGATGTGTATCAAGTTGAAAATGTGTGCAGAGAAGTGATTGCTCAACTTGCCTGTAGAGGTTTGAATTTTTTTTTGAAGACATAGCAATGAATATAAATGGTAAGCCATGTAGCCCAAATAGTATTTAAAGGTTAATGATAACGAGTAGAAGAGACCACACAGTCAGCACAATATTCAGCTACTTCAGGCATGATACAAAGCAGCAAATAACACATGCTATCCCTTCAAGAGAAGGCATAAACCTTGAACAATTACTCCCAAGAAACTGGCCTGAGCAATTCAGATATAATTATGAACTATGAACCATTTAAAGTTAACAAATATTTGCTCCTTATTTACACAAACACTAATCTCTGGACTTCTGAACGAATTGATGACAAGCAAGTGTTGTCCCATTTTCCGAGCAGTTTATAGCGTACATCAACTTCATTCCAGTAGCTTATCTTCCTCCTTGGCTCAAAGGGTGCATATATCAAGAAGCCGTTATAATCACATTTTAATCCCATATGTCTCCTATTATTCTATCTCGACATAATTGCGGCAACGATAAAGAAAACACAAATGCAAAACATACCTACATCGTTGACATTCTCTTAGAAGTACGCAGAAGGGAAACTTTGCAGCAGTTCTGGTTATAATTTTTCTGTTAACATGGTAAGCCCAACCGCCTCTTCATTTAGCACGGTAATGAACTTCATTAGCAAAAGTATATCAAATATCAGGAATGAGTTATTCATTTGCAAGGTAACATCGTCAAAATGTTAAGTGAGTAAAGTTTACGCAATATAATACAGTGATGAGTGAACCAAACACATATATGCTTTGCATGCCTATATTTATTTTTCATCTTCATAACAGGACATTATATTGAAACAGTATGGAAAATCAAGAACTGAGGAAAAGGTTAAACTATTATTGCAACACTTACTGCCATATTTAACAGTATTAAAACTACAATGCCCATCACGGGTTCAATTACAGAGAAGACAGTTACAAAGGTAATCAACAGAACTAAAGAGCAGCAGATTTCTGCAAATGTTTACAACCGAGATGAGATTTTTATGTCTTACAGGTTAATACAGAAGGGAACATACACAGGGGACGACTCCTACTTATTTTTCAGACCCATTTTCAACGCTAAGTCCATACAAAACACCAGAATACTTTTCGGTGGAACCATTAAAAAAGTTATCTTTCAACTTCTTGAATGCGCAAGAAGTAAGCAAACTATCTGAACCTGCCTGGTGGCATATACCAATCCTCTCAAGTTCCAGAAGCTCTGCCAACTTATTCAGACCACCATGAAGGTTGTTGCAGAATTTCATCAAATGCTTGATATCATACACCATGGGAAAATACATGTTCAGCAAATCAAAGAAATCTGACTGAGACTCGGGCAAATTCCTACAAGTCAATAACTTAAGCAAATATCCAAAATCATAGCCACTGTGGAAAGTTACCCATTGCACATCATTATTCAACACAATTCCTGAAGACATCAAGAGCTCGGCGAAATGGTTTGCATCAATGCCCATCTCATTATTCTTCTTAAAATCGATACCTGATTGCCTCAATAGCTCAATTGAATCATTAGCGAATATGTCCTTGTTCACATCAAATTCACGGAAATTAAATTGCCAAATACAGTAAGTATCATTTCCACAAGTGGGTAAGTTCCCATTTTCATCAGAAAATGTCAGACCTAACTGAATCAACTTCAACATATCGACATTATCCTTCAAAGTCCGGTAGTTATACTCGTTAATATGCTTAAAATTCATCACGGGATGAAGAACCACACCCGGGAACTCAGTATCCATCGCAATATAAGGATAGTCATCCACGATTTCACGAATTAGAGCAAGCTCTCGTTCAAGATTGTCATTCCATACCTCCCTAATTTGAATAGAATCATTTTTCGGTAACTCCTCCGGGATTTCTTCCATTCAGGTCAACTTTTACTTTTATGGGTAGCAAACACGCTAGTCTTCCACTCAACCAACCAGATCTGCAAATATTACAAGAAAACAAAACAAGCTCAGAAAAAATTTCAGCATAAGGATACAATCTTCGAACACAAACAGCAACATACCAGATCTACAAATCAACTAAAGTTCAAGAAAAAGCAAACCAAATAGCTAAAGCAAAGTTGCAGATTTGACCTTCAATTCGCAAATAAAGGGCTGATTTGAACAGATCTTGGAGTTTTGTGCCAACTGGTCTTGGTGTCAAAAAGAGGACGATAAAGAGTAAGAGAGGAGGTTTGCAACGACTCCGGAATCATATGAAGATAGAGACCTGACGGAGGAAATGACTGGAAGAACTTTGATATTTGTACCTAAAATTTTAAGCTTTAGTTGACACTTGTATTATTGTCAAGTGTCAATTAGATAAAAAATTTGTTTGATAAAAAATTTATTTGAAATTTAAAGTGTTCAGTAGAATAATGATACGTGATAAAGTGTAAATTAAAATGTACATTATAGTGTAGTGTACATGTAGCAATTATAAGGGTTAGATCTTATCCTAATTCTCATACACTACTTGATATAATATATTTATTTATTATTATTAGGAAAAAAAAAAAGATGAATTTTTAAGACCGATTTGACAGTAATTAAAATTAGGATCAATAATTAATTTTAATTAAATATTTTATGGGATTCATAACTTTTTAATTATATATAGTTCATTAATTTTTATCAAAATTTACTAAAAATTTTATTTTAATCCACATCAAACAAGAATTTAATATACTTCAGTCTTTATATAAATTGGTTCTATTTCAGCCCCATTTTTGCATAGCATTCATTTTGAAATAATAGTCTAATGGAGAATGTATTGTTAAAAATGAAAGAATTTTTTTTGAATTGTGTATAATATTATTTTATTGAATGGATGAAAAGAAGAGAGAGAGAAATGTATTTTGAAAAACATTGAAATCAAACAAGCTAACTTCAAATAAATTATGATTAGAAGCTTAAGTACAACTTATTGGTTTATGCTTCTTTAGTTATATATTTTATAGAATTCACGATTTTTCAATAACACATTTTATCAACTCTTATCAAAATTTATTATAAATCTAATTTTAATCTCCATCAAATATGAGCATATTATTTGATCAACTTTTTGGTTTAGATGAATTCGTTTAACAAAACTTATATCATTACCACGTCGAGTCGTAGTCGATATGAGTTGTTTGACATGATTGGTTGTGTTTGTAAGTAAGTTAAATTTATTCGTGAGTTATTTTATCAAGCATAAAACTTATTATTATTATTTTTTAGAACGTTAAATCTTCAACTGATTTTTGACAAGTTTTTTCAAAGTCCAAAAGATAATTGACTTAATAGAATTTTATTAAGAGTGTGAATATTTAAATATAGAATTTATCTATTAATTATATATTGAGTGTGTTGAATTAAGTCCATATTTTAATATCATTTCTAAAAATTCATTTTTATCCCTCATATTCAGTCGCATATTTTTTTAATTAAATAATTTTAAGGATAAAATCAATAAAATTTCTACTTTCTAAACACACATTCTTTAAATAATAATACGAAACTTATTATTTTTTTCAAAAAAATGAGGTATAAATATAATCTAAGTCTTTTTATGATGGGATTAAAATCAGATTTTTAGTAGATTTTGATAAAATATGTGGTTAGAAAGTTATAGATATTATGAAATGGTTAATTTGACAAACGATCACTGAACTTACCTAAAAATTTCAAAACGGTCATTGAAGTTACAAACTTGTAAAAACGGTCACTAAAATCTTAGGGCGGTTTCACTAATGGTCACTTTGTTAAGTTTAGGGCCCTATGATTTTAATTCAAACTTAAATGACCAAAACACGTGAACACGAAACATTGAGGACCTCAAATGAAAATTTCATCTACCCCCCCCCCCCCCCCCACCCCCAGCACCTCCACCAATACCACCACCTGCCCCCCCTCCTACACCTCCACTGAAACCACCACCTTTGCCTCCACCACCTCCTCCTCCGAAACCACCACCTTTTCCACCTCCTACGCCTCCACCAATACCACCTCCTTTTCCACCCCCAGCACCTCCTCCAAATCCCCCACCTCCACCACTACCACC